GTAATCCCTGCACCTCAGAAAACTGAGGTAAAATTGAATGTTTGAGGCTGAGCCAGACATGATGACACACATCTTAGTCACAACTCTTGGGGTGGCAGAGGCAGGTGGGTCTCAAAATTGGAGCACAGCCTGCTCTTCATAGCTAGTTCCAAACCAGCCAAGGCTACATAGAGCCTGTCTCAAAAAATAAATGATGCCAGTCTATACTATAAAAAAGCCAGACGTGTTATACACACCAGTAGTTGGGAGCTAGAGACAAGGAGACCTGATCTGCAGCAAATTCAAGGCAGCATAGTATACAAAGTCCCTGTCTCAAAACCAAGAATCAGACGACTGAGTAGGTAGAAGCTGTGGAATCTTCCTTTACTCTGTGTAAATATATGTCCCTGTGATTGGTTTCAAAGAAGCTGATTGGTCAATAACTGGACAAGATAAGGTTAGTCAGGAGAACCAGACTAAGAACTCTAGGAAGAAGAAGGGCAGAGTCAGAGGAGTCTCCTCCAGACACTGAGAGGAAACAGGAGGTGCAGGAGGAAAGAGAGTTAATGGCACTCGGCAGATGGAGATTAATAGAAACGGGTTATGTCAGTGGACGTGTCAGAGGAGAAGCAATGGAGATCAACTTCAGGGTGTCAGCCCACCAGGAGGAAAATCCCTGGCGGGTGAGTCTCAGACAGACAAGGCCCCGAGACCACAGACTCCAGAATGTCTTCGGCTTCTGCTGTCTTTCTCTGGTATCTGGTATGGTGTGAATGGTGTGGGGAAATCCCCACTGCCTGTAGTGTAGCGTGATTCTCTCATGGGAACATCCCGTTCTACTGGGTGTTTTACCTGTGGGGTGTTTTTAAAATGATTTCTTCTTAAACTGTACTGACTAATAGTAATAATGTTAGTTTAAACAGAGTCCTGATGATTAAAAGTAAATACAAGAAGGTGTTCCACAGCTAGGCCTTACAAGTTTCACCTGAGGAGCTGCAGAGATGCAGTTCAGGTTCATAGTTAAGGAAACAATTGAGTTCCCAGGAGCCAGGCTGGCTCAGATCCTTTTAATGTCAGTGTTGGTTACAGAGTACATCTTGCCAGAAATAAGACTTTGAAAATAACTTAAAGTTAGACTAGGATGTTTTTGCCAAATAGCTCTGAGGTGAAAAGCCCAAGATGACAGTCTGAAGGCACACAGTTGAATGAGAAACTCATTAAGGCCAGGAAAGTAATGCACAGCAGCCCAATGTCTACTAGATGACGTGATGTTCTTGCTAGAATCGGTTGGTGATCAAAGATGATTAATTCCTAGTGCCCATTTTTGCCCTCAATCTCCTGACATAAGAACTATTGATGAGGGGGCTGGAGAGATGGCTCAGAGATTAAGAGCATTGTCTGTTCTTCCAAAGGTCCTGAGTTCGTTTCCCAGCAACCACATGGTGGCTCACAACCATCTGTAATGGGGTTTGGAGCTCTCTTCTGGTCTGCAGGCATACACACAGACAGAATATTGTATAAATATTTGGTTTTTTTTTTTTTGTTTTTCGAGACAGGGTTTCTCTGTGGCTTTGGAGCCTGTCCTGGAACTAGCTCTGTAGACCAGGCTGGTCTCGAACTCACAGAGATCCGCCTGCCTCTGCCTCCCGAGTGCTGGGATTAAAGGCGTGCGCCACCACCGCTGTATAAATATTTGTATACATAATAAATAAATATAAAAAAAAAGAACTATTGATGAAGGTGGTGGCGCACGCCTTTAATCCCAGCACTTGGGAGGCAGAGGCAGGTAGATCTTTGTGAGGCCAGCCTGGTCTACAAGAGCTAGTTCCAGGACATGCACCAAAGCTACAGAGAAACCTTGTCTCAAAATACCAAAAAAAAAAAAAAAACAACAGCAACAACAAAAAACCATTGATGAGTGGGTGTGCACCCTAAGGGTTTAAAGCAGAACTGACTGATTCTTTTTCATATAGAAAAGTCTAGATCTGTGATTCCTTTAAGATTCCTTGTAAGATTACTTTTCAAGATAATGAAGTGATTGGTCCTTCCTTTGTAAACACAACACGCAGCCTGCCAGTAAAAGAATATCTTGCTGGCTTTCACACAGTTAATCTATAACATGTTGGTTGGGTATAAATGTACATGGGTTTTTGGTTAACTTCTTTTTCACCTTTAGTATGTAAAATGTTTAATCATGTAAGGGAGATGGAAAATATGCTGTTTTATGCTTGTATTCATCGTAATCATTCACTTGAGAAACAGAATGTAACCACATTGTAATTTTCATATTTCCTGGAAGATTTTACTGGGGTGTATAAGCTGTAAGGGGAAGAATAAAGATAAAATGGGTTAGATGGAAATCATCAGGAAAGAGAGTTAGGATCAAAGTATGTAACTTTTGGCAGACGTGTTGAGCAGCACCTGATTCTGCCCAGCACTTCCTGGTCCACTGAAGCTCACAGAAGGAGTAAGCAGGTCTCTCAGGGAGCATATGCCAATCACCAGAGATATATTCCAGGACAGCATAGAAGCTCCCAAGCCGTCCTGGAAACATGGCTAAAACATGCTTAGCCTCTGTCTCACTCATGCTGGGGTTAAAGAGATCCACCTGCTTCTAGGACTACACACCAGCACACCTGGACTCACTGCGACATGCGAAAAAAGAAACTTTGTCACCCCAACATGGGAAGAAGACGTCTTTGCCTGAGAGCTCCTGCTTTGGGAGGGGGGCTCTGATCCCAAAGAGGCCTTGTGGAGTTGGTGGGCTGAGGAGAGGAGGAGGAGGACAGGATCTGAGAGTGAATCCGAATGGCTGCCAGCAGGATTTTACTAAGAAAAGGTTCCACCTTTTATGCTGTGTAGTTACACATAGGATTGAATGGGAGACAGACAAGGAGCATGTGACTGGGATGTGGCCTCAAGTCAGGGGTTAAGAAGTCTAGCATTGACCTTGACAATAGGCACCAGTGTTAGTGGCCAAGCCTTAAGTTCCTCACAAGGGAATGAATGGAGACCCTTGCTTATCTAAATGCCTGACCCTGGAAAAAGGACTTGTGGGGAGCACTTATAGTACCATTTCTTATTCTTATATGGACCTGTTACCCTCAGAACACTCCCAAAAGGGAAGGTCATGACATCTTACTCTTTTCCCATGATACCATTCATAGGAAGTAGAAAAAGACAAGATCTCCTGAGTAAATTAGGAGCTTGGGGATCATGGGAAAAAGCAAGGGGGGGGGAGAAGGGAGGGGAGTAGAGAAAAATATATAGCTAATAAAAACAAAAAACAGAAAAGAGATGAAATTGGAAAACATCAAGAACAAAGATAGAGTTAGAGGAAAACATAAAAAATAGAGAATGCAGGCTGGAGAGATGGCTCAGCGGTTAAGAGCACTGCCTACTCTTCCAAAGGTCCTGAGTTCAATTCCCAGCAACCACATGGTGGCTCACAGCCATCTGTAATGAGGTCTGGTGCCCTCTTCTGGCCTGCAGGGATACACACAGACAGAATATTGTATTGTATACATAATAAATAAATTTAAAAAAAATTAAAAAAAATAGAGAATGCAAAAGAAGAATAGAGAAAAGGTCTGAAGGAAACTATCAGAGTATGAGTGAGGTTTTTTTTTTTTCCTTTACCCCCTCAGATTAAAAGTCAGAGTGTAATGACTCTGTGAATTCCCTTTAAACCCTGCACTGCTGGAGCCTGGTCCCCCAGGTAGCGATAGGTTAATTTAAATGGTAAGAGCTAGTTAGTAATAACCCTGAGCTATCAGTTGAGCATTTATAATTCATATTGAGTCTCTGTGTCAGTTATTTACAAACTGGCAAAGCAGGAAAGAAAAGTTTGCCTACAAGAAGCACTTGCCAGCAAGCCTGACATAACACTGCTCAGTATTCACCTACCCCTCTCTGCACAGCCTCCAGGCTACAGCTTCAGAGACAGTAGTACTCTGCCGTGGAGGGAGTGAGGACTGAAGGCAGCTGCAACTGCTTGCATAAAGTCAGGGCTGAGGGTGAGAGGCAGCTGCAGAAGAAGCCCCAGCAGGTGAGAGCTGGTGTCAAGGTCAGAGAGGAAGTCAAAGTGGCTGAGCTAGGCACGCTGAGGACTGGGAAGGGGTTCCAGGGAAAACGTGCAATCCATGGCAACAGGGAGCAAGCTGCCTGAAAAGGGGGCACTTATATGAGAAACCCTAGTGGCGGGAAGCAAGGGCATGGGCTGCCTGAATAACAGACCTGCTAGAAGGGGCAACTCGGGCAGCTGCAGAGCCAGCAGTGAGAGGCTGCTTCGATATCTCGTGCCTCATGTTGGATGCCAAATGATGAGTTTATCTCAATTTTTATTATTAATAAAAACCCGGGCATCAGATATTAGGGTAAAAACCTGACTAATAAGAGCAGCAGCAGAAAAACAAGTGTCTTTCTCTATCATTCCTTTCCTGATCCATAAACCTGAAAAATCTTTCTAAACCAACCCCTACTTCATCCTGTCTCTCTATATGTATGCAAGTCCTCCGAAACCTCTATGGCTAATTCTGGTTATTCCCTAAACCTGATTCAAGGTGAAACTTTGTTAAGAGTGTCACAGTGCAATCAAATGTCCCACAACACTTGGGGATCTGATTGAACCCACACTAAGGCCCTGCCTCATGCTGTGTTGAACTGAGTCTGGGGAAGCCTGGGTTGACCAGAAGACTTTTCAGCTTCTTGTTGCCTGTATTCTGCATGAAGGATGGCAGTGGAAATTCCACAGCCTGCGAGCTGGGTAAGCTGATGCTGTAGATGAACGAGGAAACTTCACCTGGGGCAGAGCTGCTGTCCACTGCTGTGGAGAACCATAGTGGGGAGGAAGGCAATGCCCGGTGCCAGAAGGATCCTGGGTGTTTTTCTGACTTGAGCCACCACCAAGACCCACTGCTAGAGAGCAGGCCTCCCACGGCCTCTGCCCTCTGAGGACCAGGCACACTCCTGCACCCTTCCCCTGGACCCTCAGAAGGAAAGCAAGGAGTAAGCCACACGAATTTCAAAGAATAAGGCCACCAGGTCTGCTGCAGCCTGAGCTACAGCCATGGCAGGTTTTATTCAACAGGAGGTAGTGGGGAGAATCAGGCAGCTCTCACACTGAAGACAACTGAGTGTAGAGCAAGGCAATAGAAAGAAACAAAACAAACAAAGCCATCAGAGATCTGGATGAGGAGGGAAAGAGCAGCTGACTCGGCTCACAGCCCAGACTAGCCAGACTAGAACACAGCCTGACAGGCAGTGACGACTACACCTTCTCATGTCAGAACCAGCTTAGCGGAAGTAGTTGGGACAATCATGGGCTATCAGGTCCCAGGCTTGGTCAAAGGCCTCCACGACAGCCGGCTCCAGGGGCCCTTCTTCAACGCAGGCCAAGTTCTGCTCCAATTGCTCCAGACTGGACATGCCCAGAATGACCGCATCCCCATGGGCACCCTGCAAGGGACATACAGATTCCAGCACACACCTGCCATCCCATCGACTCATTACCCGCCCCTCCTGTCCATCGCTTGCTGAGATTTAAGATCTGTTTTCACTTGAGTATTGCTTCTAGAAGAAATGACTACTGCCTCCAAACAGCCAAGGTCTGCCAGGCTCCTCTGCCCTGCAGGACAGTTTGGGAAAAAGTTAGATTCAGGCCTGACATTTACCAAGAACTAAAGGGGCAACATTACCCCAGAATGCCCACACTGGAGAAGGGGGTTAAGGAAAGGAAGTGGAGACAGCAGACAGAAAGGGATGCTCCCTGGGACATGGAATTGAGTTCTCTCTCTAGAGAGAGTGCTGGAAGGGAGGTTGATAAACAATTTCGTTTTTAATGTTCTTTTTAGAGTCAAATCTATGCTTATTTCCTACACCGTGGAGCTGTGGGACTTTAGCAAGGAAACCTCTTGCTCATATGGAGAACCAATTTCTCCGTATGGAAATGGAGATCATGGGAGCTGGAAGGATGGATTAACCGCTAGAAGCAGTTTTTGCTCTTGAAGACAACCTGGATTTGGTTTTCACTACCCACCTGGCGCTGGGTCACAATCACTTGTAACTACAATCCTAGGGGATGTGCCACCCTCGTCTGGCTTCTGCTGGAACTACAAGCATTTGTGGCCACCAGAAAAGCACTCATACGGACAAAATAACTAGATCTTTAAGCAAAACAGTCCAGATGACTAGACTTCACACAGTCATTGGACCACAGCGAGGTAAGCTAGCACTACTATGTGTCACCAGCCTGGGAGAAGCTGGGCCAGAGAAGATGGAGTCTCCAGGGAATTCAACCCCCCTCCCCCAATAAGACTTCACAGCAGAGGCTAAACAACCGGGGCCTGTTGCATACCTTGAGCTGTGAGTGATGGTACATCCACCGCAGGGCGGCCGAGGTCATACTGGGGGTGCTGGTGCCATAGCTGGATTTCAGAGCCTTCTCCACCAGAGCGATGCCCTTGAAGTGTTCCTCCTTCCAGTACCTAAATGGATGGGGGCGGGGGAACGACAGTGACATGGGGTCAGTTTCCCAGGGGTCACTAGAGGGTGACTCAAACCCTACATCCCTGAGGTGACTTCTGTCCTCAGGCAGAGCTCTGCCCCTTCAGCATCAGAACACACAGGTGTCCAGGCCCCTTGTCAGGTCACAGAGGACAATAATCTGGTATTTTACATGCTCATTAAACATTAACAATACAGCTCCCTAAGTGAGGATTCTCAGCTGCCACAACACACTTGGGTGCCCTGGGTCACACAGGCTAAAGTCCTGAGCACCAGTCTGGCTTCTGCGGTCAACTCCCTTCCCTGCACTCACTGGTCTACTTCCTGTGGGAGGAACACTTTCACTGCGGTGTGTCTTAGCAACATGGTCAGAAGAGAAGCTGATTGCGCTGGATTCTGAAGGGCAGCAGGCCTTGATTCTCTGGAGGAGAACCCTGGTATCTGACAGTGTGTGAAATGCCTTCAGAACCACTGACCAAGGCAGTGGTTTGTATTCCAGGCAGAAGGATCACAGACTGTTAGTGGGGGAGGCTGCAGTTAGGGGTTCTTTGTGGTTGCCATCTTGTTCTGAGGTGCTGAGCATCAAAGGCAAGGCATCCTCACACCAACCATTGCTCTGCCAGTGAGCAGCACACTCCCTACAGGTCAGGCTTGAATCATGCCGGATACACAGTCAGGCTAACACACTCTGCTCACTGCTTTTAACTTTGGATTTTTCCAATCACACCAATATCACAGCCTCCTGTAGGAGGCTTGCTTGCTGGGCCTTTCCTTCCCAGACAGAGAATACAAACAGCAAATGCGTCAGTCTATGCTCACCAATGATTCTTGGAGATATGGCAGCTAAGATGCCAGAGGGGAGGGAAATGTAAGAGTTCCACACAGTGGCTGACCATGGAGAAACACACATCTGATCCCACATCTGAGGAGGCTGAGGCAGGAGCACCACAAGTTGTACACTATACTGGGTCAAATTAGACCTCAAAAAAAGTCACTTGAAAGAAAGATCGAATCTTTGATAATTTTTTTTTCTCCTTCTATTTTTGTAGTGCTGGAATTCAAAGCCAGAGCTTTGAGCACTCCATGCCAGGAGATAGGCAGGCCTTGCACTTGTAATCTTTCTGCCTCAGTTTCCCCAGTCAGATACATTTTTGGATATTTAAAATTTGGATCAGAGCATTGTAGAAGACACTAGGAATCCTAGCTCATTGTCCAAGTGGTGGTGGCACACACCTATAATCCCAGCACACAGGAGGTAGAGGCAGGCAGGTGTCTAAGAAAAAGGCCAATCTGGTCTAAAGAGTGAGTTCCAGGATAACCAGTGCTATACACACACACACACACACACA